TATTTTTCTTCCAAAACTAAAATAATATTTCCAGGAAATAAATATTTCAACTTTTATGTATAATCTATCATTCAAATAATAATTATATTTATTTACTAAAAAATATATATATAATATATATCATTATGTATTGGGAAATTTCACTCTAATTCTCATGGAAAAATAAATTTTAATATTATTTTGTTAATTACTATAGAAATAATTAAGTCAACAAAATATAATTATTTATTATAAATACTTATTATACAATTAATTACTTCGTGTGAACTTTCGTTCTAATATTTCAATAATCAGTTTTTTATTTTCTTCCTTGATGTGTAACATAACTATTTTGATACGAGAAAATTTATTTTTCTTAATAATGTTGCAAAATGTGCACTGCATATGTCATAATATTAGCGCGCGCGCGCACACACACATATATAAGGTAAGTAACACAAAGGTAAAAAGAGACCTCCAAATATATATATATATATATATATATATATATATATATATAGGAGGATCCAATGAGTCCACTCCTTAAAATGAGTCCACTCCTTAAAATATATATTAATTAAATAATAAAATAATTATTAGTTGACTCCGACGTTGACCGTTGACTTCCGGCATTGATCGTTGACTTCCGACAAAAACTCGTTGACTTTCGACGTTGACCGTTGACTCCAGCGTTGACCCATTGACCCTTAGTATGCATTATATGTATGAAGTAAATATGCATCCAGTACCATGCATTCAATATGAACTAAATATGCATGGGATATGAATTGTACATGCAGTCCTTATGAACTAAATATGCACCAATAATATCAACTAAGTATGCACCTGTTATGAACTAAATATGCATCTGTTATGAACTAAATATGCATCATGAATGAACTAAATATGCAGCGAAAAATATGCAATAAAATGTGCAGTTTATATAGGTAATTTATGATCCATATTTAGTTAATTTATTATGAATATTTAGGTAATTTATGATGCATATTTAGTTAATACGAAATGCATACTTGTTATATTTAAATTAAATATATAATAATATTTATATAATTAATTTATTATGCCTATTTACTTAATTCATGATACATATTTAGTTCTTACGAAATGCATATTTAGTTCATGAACAGTGCATACCTATTTTATTTGAGATCCAATCATAACAATTTATTTGTATTATTAATCAATTTAAAATTTATATTAATTATATAATAAAAATCATTGATTATTATATTTAATTTAATTGTATAAAATGTATATTTTATTACATATTTTCGTTGCATATTTAGTTCATTCCTGATGCATATTTAGTTAGTAAAATGTGCATATCAGTACATAAACAGTGCATACATAGTTGACATTACTGGTGCATATTTAGTTCATAAGGATGACATATATAATTCATTTCTTATGCATATTTAGTTCTTACTAAGTGCATAGTACTGTATGCATATTTACTTCATACACAATGTCATACTATGGGTCAACAGTCAATGCTGAAAGTCAACGCGGAAGTCAACGGACAACGTCGGAAGTCAGTGATTTTCGCCGGAAGTCAACGTCGGAAGTCAACGCCAGAAGTCAAGTCAACGGTCAACGCCGGAGTCAACGGTCAACGCCGAAGTCAATGGTCAATTGTCAAAATAATATTTAAATAATTAAAATAATATAGAAAAAGAATAAAGTAATATAAATAAAGAATTGTTATAAATGAAGAGTTAAATCTTGGCCACACATCATGTACTAATCTAGTGGCTAGGAATGAGTCTCACATTCACACTTTAAATATGTGGACTCATTGATTCTAATCCCTATATATATATATATATATATATATATATTACATACAAATAAATTTTATCAATTTATAACTATGATATATCATTAAACAATGAGTATAATCATATATTTAAGTAAATAATTAAGTTCATACATAATTATATTGAGACTTACACTCCGATGTTAATGGCTTTAAAATAAATTTGTTAAATCCTATGCTGATAATTCAAACAATAAATGTAAGTATTTGTATAAATTTTTAATTCAAAAATAACACATTTATCAGTATAGATTAGTTTATGTATAAATATATTATGATATTATTATAATCTAATATGGATAACAATTAATATACTTTAATAATAAAAGATATTAATGGTTTACCACATAATAAAAATAACTATTTTATTATTGATGACATTTCTCAAATATCTAAATTTTGATATAAGAATTCATTAATTTTATATATTGTTATTTCCTGTCTAACAATCAATTATGTGTTGTTGTTTCCACACAATCAATAATCTAATCTTTATTGTTTGATGATTGTTATTTATGATAATAATGGTGATAATGAATATAATTCATCCACTACTAATATTATATTTAAAAAAAATACTTCAAAATATAATAAATAATATTTTCATCTTCGTCATTTTTAACATCAAGCCACGCAATGCGCGGGTGACGTACTAGTTTACTATTTCTAACACCATCGTTACCTTAAAAAAGGTTGGTGAAAGTTGCATTAATTTTCACAATAAACTATGTTTTCCCCTGTTGCTTGCGGGTATTGAAAATTATTAAAAAACTCCTCAATCACCTTTACCTCCATTTTTTTTATTCTTTTGCCATCCTTCGCTGTTGATGCACAGGGTTTCCCCTCACCTAAAACCCAGCAATACTCCTAAATGCAGACACAATAAAAGTAGCCCACATATACACGAGAGGAACAAATCAAGCAGCCAAGAAAGAACTCCTTTCTATTTTTTTTTTTTTTTCCATTTTTGTAAATAAAAAAAAAAAGCCCTCATCTTATGCTGTGTGGTTGAAGATGCCAAGACCGGGCCCAAGACCGTACGAGTGTGTTAGAAGAGCTTGGCACAGCGATAGGCACCAACCCATTAGGGGATCTGTTATTCAAGAAATTTTCAGGTACCTTTTTGTGTGTGTGTTTGTATGTGTGTGCGTGTGTGTGTGTGTGTTTGCGGGGTTAACTTTACCTTTGTTAAATTCAAGAATTTCATGGGCTTCTTTGGTCTAGGGTTATGAATGAGGTTCATTGTTCAGCTACAAGGAAGAACAGAGAGTGGCAGGAGAAGCTCCCCATTGTTGTCTTCAAAGCTGAAGAAATTATGTACTCTAAAGCCAACTCTGAGGTTTTTTTCACTCTTAATTTGTCCCAAGATTTCTCTTTTATCGATGCCCACTTAGTTTTGTTTTTTGGCTTTCTTTAGCTGTTGGGTTTTGAATCTGTTGGCTGTAGGCTGAGTATTCAGACTTTAAAACCCTTTGGGAGAGAGTAAACGACGCCGTTAACACCATAATTCGAAGAGACGAGAGTGCTGAAACTGGCGAAGCATTTCTGCAGCCTTGTATTGAAGGTATCTGTGTTGTGTGTTTTGTTTTTTCTATTTTAACATTTCTTTAGTTACCTATCTGGCAAGGTGGGAGAGTGGGAACTAAATCTTGTGTGGTTTTGGAATTACAAATGCTTTACACTTGGAATGATACTTCTTCATATTAATGGAAATAACTATTTATAATGGATACATAGACATAAGCATGAGATGAAGCCGAGTTTTGTAGATTTAATTCGTGAAATCATAGGATGGTTAGCGTTTCCCCTGCAGTAATAAAATCAACCAAACATCTTAAAGTGAACTTTCCTTGTTTTTTCCAATATTGTTTTTAGCGGCACTGCATTTGGGATGCACCCCTAGTAGAGCATCAAGAAGCCAGAGAAATGACTCTCCAAGACATTACCTTAGGCCTGAAACTTCAGGAAAGACCTCTGTCCTCATTCCAAATGACAGCTTGAGCACTAAACCTCATGGGAATCGTGAAACAATAAGACCCCTCTTGATCGATCACAACCCACAATTATCCACGCGTCCCTTGAGTTCCTGCTTCAAAGGTGATCAGAACCATATTCATAACATAAAATCTAATTCTGGTAAGAAAAATCCCATCGTTGGTCCGAGTGATTGCCAATACCGAGCAAATTCCCCAGCATCGTGGTCTGTCTACCCATTGTTCTACTATAATAATAGTAATAATAGTTGTCCAATTCAGCCTGAGGAGCTGAAGCTTTGCTCCTCGAGACCGTTCAATTCAAGTTCTCATCTTGATGCACCGGATTTTATTATTGGGTCCAATCACGAAAGCAATTTGAGCGCTGTACGAGGGATGGAATGCGATTTGACTCTGCGCTTGGGCTCTCCAGTGGCCTCATGTGATGGTATTAGGCATAATTGGTCCTCTCAAGATAGAAGCAAGCAGACTAGACGTGAAGAAATCCAAGTACCACCTTGGCAAATGAGCAGACACTTTCTCCCTCACTCGGGCTGATCTTGGGTTTATCTTACCATTTTTTATGGAAAAGCTTCAAGCTGGAGGTTTCATAAGCTGATTGCGAGAAAAAAAGTGGGGAACTATCATCAGCAATATTTGTTTTGTCTGAGGTTATTGTTTAGCCATGTGGAGAAAGAAGAGTGTGTGCATTTGTCTGTGACACGGGATTGACTCGGGAAAAAGATGCTGGTTTTGTTAATTTTGTAGTAGCTCTTAGATTTTTTATGAAACCCAATTTGTAAATTGGATGGTTAACCTGTACCCCTTCGAATTGTGGAGATGTTGTAGAGCCCATTGAAATGTGGAAATATTTTTCAATGGGAGGGATTATTTGATCTGTTATTTTATTTTTATTTCTTCATCGTGCCTGAAAAATGATCCTTTTTGACATACTGGAACAGTCATTTTTGTTCTCTTTGATAAGTCGCAAACGAAGGACTCATGCCTTTGCTTTGACATGACCCAGAGTACAAGTAAAGTCACTCCATGTTAAAAAGATGACGAGCCTATGTATCGTATTCAAAGTGGGGATGACCATTGACATTCGATTTTCTTTCTCTCTGTATGTGCATGAATTTGTGAATGTCATATGCTTGTGTTTGTGCACAGTAAGGAGACAGAAGGGGTCCATTTTGTAATATAAGCTTTATTCTGTTGTAATGGTGAAAAAAGAGACTGAAGCTGAAAGAATGTAACGACACTTTTTGTAGTTTCGTTTCTTCTATTATGTAACATGATTTGGATAATGCTTGGAGTTTAGCGCTTTCATTTGGCCATGTTCTATGAGAAAAGAAAACGATATAGTGGCTTTCATTTTTAGAATGACTTGCTTGATGTTTCGACATGCGCATTTTTCTTCAGATTCACGTGTTGTGTTTCGATATTATTAGCTGATCATTTTGCACTACTTTTGTTAGCCGTGGTTTAGCTTAGCACTTAGTATAAACCCTGAAGAAGTAGAGTCTTTTGACAAAGAGCATGCCTACGACGGATAAAATGATTGGCCATGGTCTAAAGTTATTCACTAGTTTGTCAAAAGTAAGTTGCTTTTGGCTCGAGTTTGTAGGTCCCTACAAGCTTAGTAGCATCTCCCCCCCTCTCTCTATCCTTTCACTTTCCCTGGTAGTGACAACTCCATTTCTATTGATGGCGATTGAACAAGATCATCATAACCCGCTTTAAGATAAAGAGGGGGACATCTCTGTTGGGTTCATAAAGATTTGACCTTTTTTTGTAGTGTGCACTTTCAAGTGGCTCAAAAATCCCTCATGCCCACATCGAAATCATGACTGGCCTATAAATTCATCGATAATGGAGTAGAATCGGAATAACATGGTCTAAAGCTCAGAAAACGAAAGAAAGAAATGAAAGAAATGACCAAACTTTTATTTAGATACGAAACAAAACAGGAACCGGGTAAGTTTAACATTTCCGGTGCAAACAAACCAGTGAACGCGCACTCACATTCACAGGGGAGAAGACATAGAGTTAGTAGTCGAGGTCGAGGAAGAAAATGGAGACGACATTAGGGACGATGAGTTAGAAGAAGAATCGAAAGACGATAATAAGCAGCTGTAGTTGAATTCGATTTGCAGCCTGTGGTGAAGGGAAAAATACGAGACCCCATTCTTCCTCTCCTCGTCTTCCAGCTCCTTCAACGGTATAGCCGCCAGGAATCTCTTGATAAACTCCCGACAGCACTCTTTCCCACTGCATATTATCTTCTCCTCTTTAATCTCGGTCATGACTGCGCTCTTATCGAACCTCAGCACGTACGCCCGATCACACCCCTCGAAAAGCCTCTCCCCCAAAGTGTCGATCACGTAGTAAGCATCCGAGTCCACCTTCAACACGAAAAAATGGTCGTTCCAGCTCACTATATACACTCCCGGCTCGGCATTATCATCGATATTTGTGGTGATCTCGTTCCAGATGTCGTCGAAGGACATGGCCCCCTTGAGGGACTCGAACCTGTCGGCACCAAAGAAACCGACGAAAGAGCGGCCGGGAGAGATGGAGACGGGCCGTATGCGGGCCCGGAGGACGGTGTCGAGGTCAAAGTGGCAGTTGGTGAAGTCGGACAAGTATGTGGTGTCTCGGCAGAGTTTTTGCCACTCAGAAGAGCCGTGGATGATGAGGGAGTCGAGCTCGGGACGGTTGGGGTTGGGTTTGGTGGGGTTGGAGAGGAGCCAGTGGGATATGACGGCAACTAGGGCCGTGCAAGCGCCCTCGCCGGCAGCTTTTGGGCTGCGCTGGTCGAACGAGGCAAGGAAGACGGGTGCTGTGAGTTTCGATTGCCCGTCTCGACTTACGAGCTCTTTTTGTTCCCAGGAGCCTTCTGGATTGTCTTGGATGGTGTCTGGTTCTGGAACTTCTTTCTGGAAGGAGATAAGGATTTAAACAAGGGTTATTATGTAAATAAACACAGAAATAATTGAAAAAGTCTGTTGGAATTTAGAGGTTGTGACTTTCTTGAAATTGCTTAAGACTATGAACGAAGAAATTGCTGTAGTCTAAAGACTTAACAAAGATTTTTTGAAGAAGTCGTATGAAAAAATTGAAACTAGATTGAGTTATAGCTTAAATAAGGTCAAATAACCATTAACTCAGTACCACAACAGGGGTATGATGATTCAAACCTTCAAACAGTAGTACTCTTGCTTGAAAAATTCAATCTAACCCAAAATATTTAAAATTTGGAACACAAAACTCTCGTGTTTTTATTTCTATAATATTTCAATCAACTCACATCAATACATAAGTGAAACAACATATGATTCAATATACCTCTGATCCCGTTGAAGACGATTTAGGATGGATATCGATCTTGCTCTCACTGAAAGAGTTACAAGAGCTTTTCGGCTTTTCATCAAATTTCTCTTCTTTGGTCTTCGCACGCTTAAAAGTATAAAACCTCCTATTTTTCCAGGAAAACCATCCTTCTTTCTTGTCTGAGGTCAGCACATGTCCCAAAGCAAGGGTCGGCTTGACATCTTGAGCCTCTATAGTGCTCGAATCATCCGATTCGTCCAGGCTTTCTTCTTCTTCTTGGCTCAACGATCTTCTTCTTGCTTTCACACTTTCTTTTTCTTCGCCTGTGCTTGAGATGTTTACTGATCCGGCACGAGTTATAGCCATTGGTTCTTGGGAATCTCTTATTTCAACAAAATTAAATAACACCTGCAGATGTAAATTTGTTTCCAGTTAAAACTACCATATTTCTGCTTAATCTTTAGTCGTGCACATATATATATAAAAAAAAAAAAAAAAAAAAAAAAAAAAAAAAAAAAAAAAGATTCTATGCAGCATTATCGTTTTAATGCAGACTTGGTAGACGCAAATTAGGCTCGGATAAAATTTTATAAAATCCTGAAAAATATAAGTCCAGCTGGTGTAGGTGCATGGAGACAACAAATTCAAAGATGAACAGACAAATCTAGCCATTATAGTAACTAGTTAACTAGATAGCTCAACCTACTATAATAACTTCATTAGCAGAGGCCCCTCAGCTTTTAGGGAAGTAGAAAACTGTACTACTAATAATGTAAAAGGAGATTGAGCCAATTGTGATTAGTGTTGTTAAATTAAACCAGCCCGGCTCGTCTTGGCTCGAGTTTGGCTCGTTAAGTCGTTTGATAAACGAGCCGAGCTCGAGATCAATTAAAGATTATTTGATTATATATTTTTCTTTTCTCTAAAATAAAATAAAAAGAGTGGTTATTATTCAGATTCAACACCAATTATGATAAGGTGAGTACAGGTCAACTCATACCATTTCAAGAGAAAAAGTCTGCCATGACACACACACACAAACACAAACAAACAATTAGCCCATAGTCAACCAGATTATAATAAATACTATTGATTAAGTTGTGATTTGATTATTTCTTATGACCATAACAGCCTCCATTGAATACAGATTTTCGTTGACTAACTGGCAGAATATTTGAAAAAACATAATACAGAATATTCAAATTACCGTGAGGAAAGCTTCCCTTGTTACTCCATCAATCTGCAAGCTCAGAGGCAACTTCTGCTCAATCGAAGATTTCTCTGTTCTCGCAGCAATTTCCGATATATTCACTGAGACTCTCCCGATCACCGCCGTTTTAGCCTTTGAATCCATCTTCTCCGACGACTGTTTCATTAATTAAAAAAAAAAAAAAAAGTAATTTCTATCAGAAGACATAAATATGAATGGAACACCACAATCAATCGATTCCCACCACATACGCCAAAATTTAGAAAAATTAAACCCAAAATCAGATTAGGCATAACCTCCACCCTAATCGACAACTAAAATTCATTGAAAAAAATACATTCAATCTTACATGAAGAACGCTGAAGGTGATTTCCCAGGCTCCGAATTTAGGATGAACATCGTGATCAGAAACCACCGAAAGACAGCAAATGTTCTCGAACCATCCATCTTCGTCCCACTCGATAAATCCCAACCCCTTCTCCAAAGTTTTCCGGCTCGATGTCTCCGCCCTCGGCCGCGACTGGAACGGCGCCATCAACGGAAACAGCCTGGGCTCGCCTTTCCATTTAACTTTGACTGCCACGGACCCCTCATGGCCGCCGCCGCCACAGTCTTCCCCAAATCCGTCCAGTCTCGCCGGCTTCACCCCCACGCGAAACCTCCGCACCCCGGCGGCCGACGCCGGAGGCCACGGCGTCCATCTCATCATCTTCACAGCCATGAATTTGAAGCTCGCTCCCTTCTCAATTCGTGGGTAAATAATAAATATAACAAAAATTTATCTGAATTTTCCTTTTTCTTTTTTTTTTTTTTTTGAGTTGAAAAATTGAAAATTGAAATGGGAGGAGAAGATAAAATGAGAGGATATTAATAAATGATGAATTATGAAGGGAGAGAGGAATTATGGAATGCGGCTGGCAGTTGGGGGCTACCATAACGCCGCCAATAGAGTATCGCCACGTGTTGGTGAACTTGAGGCGGGTGACGTGTCGTACAACTATTCGGTCTTGGATTGGGGGACAGTCGTGCCCTTGTGGGGGTTGTTTGAAGCGTGTTTAAGCGGAGACACGTAGACGGCGGAAAAGAATTTCGACACGTGATGTTACGCGTGAAATTTAGGGAAATTCTTCAAAAAGGTAAGAAAGATTTAAAAAAATGGTATATAAGCTAAAATTGCCTTTTATAAATAAATATCATGGGAAACGTTTTGTTTAAGGAAATTTGTAATATTTTGCCCTTTTGGAGTTAGAGGGCCAAATATTCGGTCGGAATTTGACAAATTTTGAGCTTCATTAATTTGGATTTTTGGATTTTTGAGCTGATTGGAGAAGTAATCCTCTCTATATATAATTCCCAAATGTGCTGAGCCTACGTGACTGCTTCTGGTGCTTCGGAATCCTATTTGACGAAGAATCATGCTTCGCGATTAGGTTTGGATAAATAATATTGATATATTAATAATTAATTTTCTAGGTTCGGGTATTCCATAAATATTATTTAGCTAACTTAGGTATTTTAATATCACTTTTACTAATATAACCCTTTAAATCTTTGTAATTTTACATAGTGATGCACTAAATGACTAATATAACCCTGAATTTTGATTTGCTTCCTTCAATAAGCTATTGAATTATAAATGTATTTTAAAAGTTGATAACCCATAAATATTATTTAGCTAACTTAGGTATTTTAATATCACTTTTACTAATATAATCCTTTAATTTTTTGTAACTTTACATAGTGAGGCACTAAGTGACTAATATATCCCTGAATTTTGATTTGCTTCCTTCAATAAACTATTGAATTATAAATGTATTTTAAAAGTTGATAACTTTTGTATTTATTATCGGTTTTACATATATAATATATCAAATTAATCACCTTTTGATGATCTTCGATTTGACATCCATATTGTATATATGAAATAAATAAATTATATTTATCTTTATAATAATAAAAAATAATAATATATATTAAAATTCATTAGAAAAATAAAATTATTTTTCATTTGATATATTTATATTTAATGTTGTTATATATTGTAAGTTAAAAAAATTAGTATAATTTAACACAAGTAAGTCGCACAAATAAAAAATGTCATAATAAATATATAATAATATATATTCTTATAAAAAGTATTAAAATTTTCAAACTACTTTTTCTCATTAATTTTAGATTTTAAGAAAAAAATTAGCAAGTACCTGTGTAATACACGGGTGTTGTACTAGTTTTCGATATTCCAAAGTTAGGGTTCCATTTGCAGCGACATTCTTCTTGATTTTTCGATGGTGCATAAGGTACTTTTCGAATCTTCAACGATTAAAGGTTATTACCTTGAAATCTAATAGTTGCATTCCTAAAATTAGGGTTCTTATGCTATGTGGTTTCGAAAATACGATTTTTGGTCAAGTGTCGTGCTTGTGATTTGAAAATTAGGGAAAGTCGATTGCTTCATTTGGAACTAGAAAAAATCGATATCTTTTGATTTCGTAAACTTTCGTGCTTCTGATTTGGAAATTAGGGTTTTTCGATTTTAGGGTTTTCTAACTTAGAAATTAGGGTTTTTCGATTTGAAAATTAGGGTTCTCTAATTTTAAAAATTAGTGAGTGTCGATATCTTCATTTTGAAAGTAGAGAAAGTCGATAACTTCTGTATTGGAAATTAGAGTTTTCTAATTTTGAAATTAGAGCTTTCTTATTTGGGAATTGGGGCTTTCTGATTTTGAAATTAGGACTTTCTGATTTGGGGATTAGCGCTTTCTGATTTTGAAATAAGGGCTTTCTGTATGTTTAATTTGTGATTATTGTGAAATGTTTAATCTGAAAATTATTGATGTTGTTTGTAAGAAGAATTTGGGTCCTTCTGTGATATTGATGCATAGGAAGTGTTGATGCATAAAGTATTCTTTTTATGTTGTGGTCCCTGATTTCATAATTTAATAATATCATACCTGTTGATTTGCAGAATGTGGCTATTCTATCTGATAAGAAATCTATGGAGACATCGGATGATTTTCTTATGGAGTCATCGATCACTTAATGTATTGACACATGTCCAAAGTATATATTTATTGTAGGACACGTGTCAATACGCTATTTGTGAATAACTGTGGATGACTCCATAAGCCGAGCCATCCGATAGCTCCATAGCAAAAATGTCTATTTGATACTCGAGTTGGTGGAGTGATAAAATGGGAGCCTTTTGTGCACTACTTTGGTGGCCAAAGAGTTGCAGTTGGCTTCTATGATATGGACAGGTTGTCTATGTATGAGCTAATAGATGTGTACAAGAAGACAGGTGGCAAAGCATCCACTGTGGAAATTTTTTTCACAGAAACCTGGAAAAACTCTTCAAACAACAAAGAAGATCATGATGATTGCCAGTGACAGTGATATTTTGAAGTTGGTGAAGAAGTATACATGGCAATATGTCATCCCACTATACTTTTAAGATTTGCAAGGCCCTCTACATTAATTGGACATTGATGGGAATTTGATGGATGCACAAGAAGCGATCCCACTTCTTGAATATCCATATATTGAAGAGGATATTCTAATTGACAAGTATTGTGACCAACAAACATCACCACAACAGAGTGATAAAGAAGCACAAGAAGAGGATGATTTGCAATCAGTTAAATAAACATCATACCTTGATGCATGTTCACAAGATCCTGTTGGTGAGGTGGATCCTACAGAAGATGGTGATGATGTTGGTCCACAAGAGGTGGATCCTACAAAAGATGCTAATGATGTTTATAAAAATTTTGGACATATATGTTACATTTTTGTAATACCTCACATAATTGTAATACTTTTATGTACCACTATTGATTCGGTAACACTTTTTAGTAATACTCTTTTTTTTTTTCATGTTTTTTGTACCACAAGTTAGAAATATTTTTGTAAATCAATATTGTACAAGAATTCTTTTGAGACCATGTAACATAAATCCATAGTGTGGTGCTTTGTGTGCTTTGTTTATTATCATGTGTTTAGATCATTCTGTTGTGATCAGATCTAACTTGATTGGTCAACTAATAACACATTTGACCTTAAGTTAATCATGATCAGTTTTTCAATTATACCATTTTGGAAGGGAATCAATCAAAACTTAAATTTGCTCGATGGACTAGTGATTGAGCCGAACAACTTTATTCTACTTCTCTTTATTATTAATATTAAAAATTTTGTAAATCATTATATAGATTAATGATATGAGACAATAATATTAATATTCAAAGTACAAAATGTACATATAAAATCATGTTGAGAACTATTTTCATGATAGATTTCATTAATTATTCTTTTATTATTCACAAGCGATCGCCTTCACCATTACAATTTGCTCAGCCTTTTGCCTTATATAAACTTACTTTTTTATTTATATATATAAATAATATGTGTATATTTTTTATATTATTGATAATTGATCCCCGTTGTAGATGTTAATTGTGAGTTTATATTAACCTACACTTTCTATTTTATTTCATGTCAATTGTATTTGTATGTGTGATGATAACCCATCGCATGATTTTCGTCACTTTTTTCAAATTTATTAGAATTCGTTAGGAATAATGGGATATGCATTTGCCATCCCATTTTGAAGGAGAATGTTCTCTTGAGTAATTTGTGCTGCTAAAGCTAAAAAAAATTGGCCTCCCATGTGTAAAGAAAGCTCCAACAATTATCTTTGTGACCCATTGAGTTATTGAATTTCTGAAAAACAAAACCCTTAGTTGAGAAACTGAAAGGAAATGAAACTCAGAATTAAGGAATGAAAAACAACAGAGTATGAAAGAATAAACCAAGCCATCATTATATTTTTCACTACTGCTGCAAAAGACTGAAGAACAATATTTATACAAGCTCTAAGAATATAACTGATTAAGTCAGTTATAGCACTAAGAGAAAATGCAGAAAACTGAACATAACTGCCTAGGAATACAACTGACTATAAAGAATAAAAATGCACACGTCCAACACTTAATTCTAACAGAAACAAATTAATTGAGATTGAGAGAAACAAAATGGATAATGGTTAGTTGAGAACGAAATAGTTTTTGCCTAGAGAATTCCTAGTAAACAAATTTTTCTTTAAGCGTGCTTGTTTAGTCCCAAAAACAGGGTATATTTAATTCAACATTTGTATCTAATTGTGTTGTCCAGATTTATCTTTATAGTTGACATATTACAACTAAATAATTATGTGCATATGACTAGCAAATGAGACTAGCCTACCTCTTTAGGTTTGTATATGTTTTGACCATTAGGGGAAAGATAACTTTCCATTTTCTTGTTTATAGGAAGTGAGCTCGAAAGAGCAAAATATATAGACTCAAGTTTTGTGAATCCTAACAATTTAAGCTTTAAGCAAGACCTATGGATCTGGTTTTACTTGGTTGTGGGAAAGTTTGTATATGAAGAATCTAACCTATTGGTTTTTTGCCTAGTAAGATATATATGTTCATTGCGCTTCATCTATTTGCTTCTCTCAATCATTTTCACCAACAAACTTGTGAGATATTTCATCTAGTTCATTATCCATGAAAAAATGTTAAAGAAAAACATAAATCCAATGGGCATATATGGCTTATACTTTGTTAGCATTTAAATCCTACTATGTAAAATTTTGACAAGAAATTGTAGAATATTTTAGATGTAGAAATCAATGGCTGGATAGATGAATCCATTAACTACTATCCTTTTTTTTTTTTTTTG